AATGGCAAAGCCTGGATTGACGGGAACTACTTGGGAGAAATGGAGAAGGGTGAGAAGCCTGTGAATGAATACTTTTGGCTTCAATTTGCAAAAGTAGGGGAAGGATGGACTCAGAAAATACAGAGGTGTGTTTAGTGTCCAGCTCTGGGAAAGTGCAGGAAGAACTTTAAGATTATGTCTGCAATAGTCTCCTAACCGATCTCTCCACTTCTGCTCCTGTGGACCCCAACCTTTGTGCTGTCTTCTCAATCTAGCAGCCAGAGGGATTCCATGCCACCCACACCCCAGTGGCTCCCCTCTTCCTGGAAGGCAAAACCAAAGTCCTTACGATGGCCCATAAAGTCCAACAGGATTGCTGCTGCTGCTGCTGCTGCTCTCCTGCTACTATGACCTTGCAGCTACTCTTCCCCTCCCTCTCTGGCTCCAGCACAGCAACTTTCTTGCTCTTGGCCTTAACCCTTGCTGTTCTCCTGGCCTGAACACCCTTCCCCAATTAGTAACTGCTTGGTTCTCTCTTCTAAGTCTGCCCAGTGAGACCATTTGTGATCACCCTATTTAAGTCCCTCTGACCTTTCTCTTCCTCATCTGTGACTTTTCTTTCCATAACACTTTTGTTTTGTTTGAGGCAGAGTCTTGCTTTGTAGTGCAACCTGGCCTTGAACTCACTATATAGCCCAGGCTGGCCTCAAACTCAAGCCAGTTCTCCTACTTCAACCTCCTGAGTACTGGAATTGCAGGCATACACCACCAGCCCAGTTGTAGTGCTTCTTATGATCCAATATATTGCATATTTTTGCTACTTTCTTCTCCTCATTAACTTTCTCCTTTCACCAAAATGCAAGGTCCCTGGGCTCAGCAATTTTCACCTATATCCCTAGTTTCTAATTATGTTCTCTAGATACTTGTTGCGCACAAAGGCTGGAGGAAGACAGCTTCAGTTGCCTCAGGGCACTCACTACCCTAGTGTGCCCACTTACCCCAGCTTTCCCAAGACTGGGAGAGTTCTTGAACACAGGAGTTTGGGGCTGGGCCCAGAAAGTCTCAACTGGTCACCCATGCTAGATTAGCCAGTCCTATCTACCTCTGTGACACAGTGACTAGGCTGAGAGTTCCTGGCAATGTCATGGACTCACTAGACCCTCATTTTGACCGCATTCTGCAAAGTCTGCCTTGCTGGCCCTGCAAGACGCTGCAGACACATGGGCTGTGGGCTGCAGGATGGTGTACTTTGGTGGCTGGTCTCGGCTCAACAGCCAGAGATGGTGGTGAGCACAGAGTATCAGGTGGCAGGGAAGGCCGCAGCAAGGAGCCACAGGACTGTCTCCTGGCCCAGATCTGCTCCACAGTCCATCCCAGCCATGAATGAAGATGCAGAAGACAGTATGGAATTTCCCAGTGGCACCACTAGGGAAGGAAAATGAGTATGTTCAATAATTGGGCCGGGCACAGAAATCATTTCAGTAGATGTAAAGGACAGAGCCTAAGTAGCAGCTTAAGATTCAAACGGAAACAGAAGGGCAGAGTGGTGTGCACTTGTGATCCCAGCAACTGCGGAGGCCAAGGCAGAAAGACTGCAAGTTCAAGGACAGCCTGGACATCTTAGGGAGCCCTTATTTCAAAAATAAAAAGTTGGGACTATAGAACAGTGGTACAGTATTTCAGGGTTCAGTCCCTAGTACTTCAGAACAAAAAAAGATTTAGACAGAAACAAAGCTTGTTTTCTATTTAGGATTTAAGAAAAGATAGCAATCTTAAATGTATAATGGAGGCCAGGCCTATCGCACTTTGCATGTTATAAAGCCAACATGTTCAGCTGACACAGCCTTGGTCTAGAGCGCAAGCTGGCAGTGAAGGCCACACGGGCTGTGTTCACAGAAGCACAGACCTCGGCAGGGTAGGGAGGCTGCTGTGCTCTTGACTGGTGGAGCCACACCTGCGAGGTGTGTGTGGCCTCATCCCTGGAGAGGCTGCTCTGGCCCCACCTACTCTAGGACACCTGGGGCCCCACCTGGGGCCTCTTCCTTCCTCTCTGCTGTCCCTAAAACAGCTCCCACTCTCAGGAGAAAAGAGGCCAGGCCCGCCTTCTCTTCTTTGCCCCACCTCACCTAGCTTCATTCCCTGGGGGAAGCTGACAAATTTGGGACCTGGGATTCAGCTGAGAGACAGAAAAAACTCCCCGTGACTTTTCCGCCAGAAGAAGACTTGAGCTGTGGAGAGCAGCATGGCAACTGGGCACTGGCAATAGGGACAGGGGCCCCTAGGGCTCAGTGACGTTCCCCTGCCCAGGCAGGGCCTCAGGGAGGAGCCTGAGGGAGACAGGGTAGATCAGAGGAGCAGAGGGCCCTGGGGACCCAGGACACTTGCCCTGCTCACCTTCCAAACTCAGGTGCGTGTTCTAGTGTTTGAGCTGGAGGAACTGAAAGCCTTGGGTCCTCTAGATCTGTGGGGGTCACTTTTTAGGCTGCTGTTCCCCAGCGTGGGACTCTCTAGAAAGCTGTGCGGTGAGAGTGGGTTTGGTGATTCCAGAGCATCGCAGGGCTATGGCTCTTAAGGGCATGGAAACTTCATTCTCCATGTCACATGGATTGGCCAAGAAAGGCAGGGCTGATCCACTGAGGAAAGGAAAGGAAAGAAAGGGAAGGGAAGGGAAGGGAAGGGAAGGGAAGGGAAGGGAAGGGAAGGGAAGGAAAATGGCAACTCTGACCGCAACTTTCTATGGTCACTACAGGCCCCGCTAAATCCACAGGCTGGCTCCAGTCAGGTGGCAGAGCTGCTCAGGGCAGCTGTTATGATCCCAAATGCATCCAGGAAGCACCTTGAGAAGCATCAGGAGTAGCTGCCAGGGGTGGGCAGAGGAGCGGGAACAAGCACATGGATGCAGAAAGTACCTCTTTACCCCTATGTCACCAGAGGCCACATTCCCTGGGAAAGCAGCCACGAAGGAGTCGTACTGGCCTTAGGGTGGGGAGGGGCAGAGGGACCGTCCTCCATCCTCTTGCCTGACTCTTCTGCTGTCTACCAGAAAGCCAAGCCTGGAGCAGGTGTGAACAGTCCTAGTAACCCCAGGCAGCTGCCCCGTGGTTCTCAAAGTGCTGTCCCCAGGCTAACAGGGTCAGCATCACCTAAAAACCTGTTAGAAATGCACATTCTCAGGTCTCCTCCTGCTCTTCTACCTGAGGTCCATGTGTGAGTGTGCATACAAGTGTGTGTGTGTGTGTGTGTGTGTGTGTATGAGAGAGACCAGTCATCTTTGTTGAACAATATCTGCGGAGATTTGTGGCAGGTTAAAGTGTGAGACCCCTGCCCAGGAGGAAGGAGACTTCTAAACTGGCTGCTTGCTGATGGTCCTCAGAGACAAAATCTTTGTGCTTACTGAGGGATGCTACCCTCTGGTTTTCCCTCTGGGTTCTGTGAGTATTCTCATTCTAGGTCCATGGGCCTTTGGCTCTGTCCTTGGTCTGGTATCCATCTTTGTACCTATTTGCAGTCTTGCTGGTGGCTTAGGATCTGCTTCCAACCAGTCTGCCATGTGTGTTCTGTAACATTGGGTGGCACTCTTGGGCTCATATGTGGCTTCCTGACAGGTTCAGGAAGCCCATTCCTCTCAGTAGTCTATCTTGGAAGCAGAGCACAGCTGCCCAGTGGCTTCCAGCCCTGGCACTGCCCCTCAGCTGTCCCACAGCAGCCCCTCTACCCTTGGCTCTGTTGACTTTCCAACAGATGTTCACTCCTCTTCACATTTGGTTCTCGGAAGTCAGTCAGTTAAAAAAAATACTACATAAGCAAACCAGGCTCATTGCAGATTATACCAGACTGGAAGGGACGAACGAAGCAGCAATTTCCTTATCCCGGAGTCCTCCCCTCCTCAAATCCTCTGCCACCCCATGCCCCCCCCCCCCCCAGTGAGCCAAAGTTTTTGCTGTCTGGATGATTTGTGATTCTCTGCGTGACTCTGCCTCTTGGGTTTGTTTAATTAGAAATAGGCCGGGAAGTACTTCTATGCACTGGCATGTTAATTGCTTATTAGAAAAGGAGAAAGGGTGACTGTGCTGGGCGATGGAAGTTTCTGCTCTTGCTCCATCTCTGGGCTCGTCTCCGTCTTTCTCCCCTACGCTCTGCTTGCCTTCGGGGTCCTCTTCCTCCCTTTCTTGCTGGTCGTCAACAGCCTCTCTGCCCTTCCTCCCCCAGATCCCCTGTTCACAGCTGTGAGGACTCTCTGGGCTCTGCACAGACCCAGAAGCCCGAATTCAAATCAGAAAGAAAACACTACCCCACCCCTCTCTTCTCACTTTTATTAAACCCCAGGTCTTCGCCCCCTCAGTTACCTTCAGGCTTTGAAATGACACCAAAGTAGAGAGCTCTTTGCTTAGACCCAGTATGCAAAATACTTTCCTTTCATTTGATTTCCCCTCTTACTATTGTTGTTATTATTGTTTATTTTTATTTTTTACAAAACAGGAGAAAAGAGTGAATTGGGTTGGGGGCAGGTGACACGTTTCTCCACAAAGGTACAAAATCGCCTATAGAAAGTCAATTCCAAAGAGCCCAGGCTGTTGAGAGGCGGCATCCCTGGGCATCCCTCTCCCCAGATGTCCTTCAGATCCTGCAGGGGCCGCTTCCGCTTTGGGGGCCGTCCCCTGAGGTGGGAAGGAGAGGCCTCCTCAGCCCTTGCCCAGGAGGGGAGCTAGCAAGCAACTGGGACTGTACAAAGAAAGAGAAGAGGACGAGGGGCAGCCTGCGGGCCGAGGGCCTGGGGGCACGGGCAGGAGACAGCCAAGCAGAAGGCCAGCAGCCTCTGGGCGAGTAGATGAATGGGGAAGTGGGAGGCTCCAGCCAGAGTTCAGCCAGCGACCTCCTGCTCCTTGGAGGCAGCCCTCAGAGTGGGGGCACGGAACCCCCACGAGTAAGAGGACCATTTGGAGGTCACAGGAGCGCCCCCTGGAGCCACAGAGCTGCATCTGTCTTGGTCTAGCTTCCAGGCCTCAAGCACATGGGTCCATCCACTGTCCTGGCAGGGCATCAAGCCCAGATTGCTTCCCTTTTGGTAAAAAGTAGTCCTAGTTATTTCTCTACTGCTGAGAACTGGCTGAGCTTCAGGAATTTCGAGACAATGGTGGTGACAGTGCCTCCCCTTCTGGTGATCTGGACAGCTTCCTCCCTGGATTCCAGGGCAGAACAAGGGGTACAGACACCACCCGGACAGAGGGGGCGCCCCAGCCCCAGAAAGCCCAGGCTGGAAGGAGAGGCCGCCCACCTACCCCTTGCCCGGGCTGGCCTGTGCCAAGGTGGGCTGCAAGCCCAGCTGCCAGCAGGAGGACAGCAAGAGCCAGGATGGCTATGAGCCCAGGCCGGTCCCCTAGGGCTCTGTGACGAGGAGTGGCCTCTTTAGTCCTGGCCCATACACAAGCCAACTCAGTGTGGGCATCGGCAAAGGCCACTTGCAGGCAGGCCCAGTACTCTGTGGCCGGCAGGAGGCGGGTGATGTTGTAGCTGTGGGTGCCCTGGGGCAGGCGAGCCAGAGCAGGGTTCCCCTGGCCCCGGGGGGCAGAGGTGCTGGACCAGGTAAGTTTGGTGGAGAATGTGTTGGGTGGCGGGACCCAAGACAGCAGGATGTGATAGGGGTGGGTCTCCTGTACCCGGAGCTTTAGTTCCCGTCCCTTGTCCCTGCCTGGCTGCAGGGGAGCCCTGCCAACTACCACACTGACCGTCTTGGTGTCAGCCCCCACCAGGTTCTGGGCCACACAGGTGTACAGCCCTGCCTCTTCCACAGTCACCCTTCGAAGCTCCAGGGTCCCCTCGGGATACACTCGGTATCTCCTGCCTACGTAGGCAGGCGTCAGTCGAACCCCGGCTGGAGTGACCCAGTAGATCTCAGGCTCTGGTTCAGCCAGCGCCCGGCAGTGCAGTGCCACAGTCCCTCCACTGGCCACCTGGAGGCTCGGGGGGAAGCTGCGGGGGGAGATGAGGGGCAGGCAGCGGTCCGTCATCTCCCGGAAGGACACCTCTCGGACCAGGTGGCGCTGGAGGTCGGGTGGCTCAGCGCACATGGTGGACTGTGGCTCGATGAAGCGGAGGCGGGTGCCGGTGGCATTGGCCCAGCGGATGACGCAGTCACAGCGGATGGGGTTGCCGTGGAGCCCCACCTCCTGCAGGTTGGGCAGGGATTCCACTGTCTGCTGGTGCAAGGCACTGAGAGCATTGTTGTTGAGCATGAGGGTCTCCAGCTGGGGCAGGTGGTGGAAGGCGCGGGGGTGCACGAAGGACAGCCTCGGGTTGTTGGTGACATCCAGCTTGGTCAGCTCGGGGAGGTTAACCAGGGCGAACTTGTCAATGGAGACCAGCTCCTCCATGTTGTTGAGCCCCAGCTCCTTGAGGTGCAGCATGTTGGCAAAGTCCCCTGGTCCCACCCGCTGCAGTGGGTTCTTGTTTAGGTCTAGAAACTTGAGCCCCGGCACCTGCTCCAGGGCCCGCCTGGGCACCCGGGCTAGCTGGTTGTCATAGAAGGAGAGGCTCTCCAGGCTTTGCAGCCCCTCCAAGGCATAGTCTGAGATCTCCCGAAGGCTCATACCCGCCAGCACCAGGCTGCGCAGGTTGGCCAGGGGCCTGAAGTTCATGTCCAGGATGGCGTCCACCTTGTTGCCGCCAATCATGAGGATCTCCAAGTTGGGCAGCATCTCGAACCAGCGGCTGTCGATGGCCCTCAGCAGGTTGGAGTTAAGGTGCAGCCGCAGCAGGTTGCTGAGGCCCGCGAAGGCCCGGGGAGCAATGCGGTAGAGCTGGTTGTGGTTGAGATAGAGCTCCTGCAGGCCAGCCAGCCCAGCGAAGCTGTGGTCCTCCAGTCGGGTCAGCTGGTTCTCCTCCAGGTGCAGGCTCAGCAGCTGCGGCAGGGCCCGGAAGTCACAGTCCCGGGCGTCTGAGAAGCTGTTCTGGGACAGGTCCAGCTCTGTGAGGTTGGCCAGGTAGGCAAGCTCACTCTGGTCCACGCGGACGATGCTGTTGCTCTGCAGCAGCAGGGTCTGTGTCCCTGCAGGGAGCGCAGGGGGCACCGCCGTCAGGAACAGGTCATTGCAGTCCACGGTGGTGGCCTCGCGGTAGGATGAGCGGGGTGTATACCAGGGCCGGATCTGGCAGGCACACTGATGTGGGCAGGGCACACGCCATGGCACCATGGGCACAGCGGCAGTGGCACCAGCCACCCAAGCTAGCAGGAGTGGGGCCACAAGGAGCCTCATGGTGGAGCTGCAGGGCAGGAGAGCATCCACAGGAAGAGTTCGCGTCCTGCTCTTGGAGTTTTGCAGGGTTAGGCTCAGCAGCCCTGCCAGGGCCCAGGGAACCACCCTCCCAGGGCAGTCATTCTAGGCGAGGCTGGGTAAGCATCACTTGGTGCCCTCCTGGGTGTGGCTTCTCATCCTCACGCACCAGGGCCTGGCCTGCTCCCTCATCGCCACAGCCCATCTCGGGCAGCCCTGGAAGGAGAGGGTGCAGAGTTAAGGTGGGGGCAGGAACAGACTCTATCACTCTACCCAGGCCTCCCCGTTCCACTCAAGAAACCAAAGGTGCAGCAGAGGTTCCAGGACTCTTGGGTTCTGCCCTATAATCCTTAAAGCTTTAGTGTCTTTTTTCTACAACCTATGCAAAGTGGCTATGAATCTTTAGGGAAGAGCCCTGGGATGACTCAGAGGAAGGTGTGTGTGTGTGTGTGTGTGTGTGTGTGTGTGAAGCAGCATGGGTAAATTGGAATTATGGTCATCTTCAGAGATCTTCTGAGCCCAGAGAGATGAGGAATAGATTCTCCAACCTTTCTTGCCTCTTTCTTCCCTCCCTCCCTGGCTCACTGGGTAGATGGAAGAGAAAATGATTGTTTCTAGGCATCCCTCTGGTGATGTGGGTGGGGAGGGGGATAGTGTGAACAAGAGCACCTTCTAAAGTGTGGGACGGAAGCTGGTGCAGTGGTGAACAGAGTCTCAGCTACTTGGGAGGCTGAGGTAGGAGGACAGTTCAAGGCCAGCCTGGGCTACAGAAAGAGACCCCATTAAGAAAACCACACCAACCAAATATAAAAAAGGGCTACCCAGGACTCAAGGTGAAAGACAGAAAACCTGGCCCTACATCAGCACAGGCTGGGGAAGAGGGGGTGGCCCTGCTTGGGATGTGCCTAAGTGTTCCTAGGTGGGGGGCTTTCCCTTTCCCAGTCACTTGCCAGGGCTGCCCTGAAGGGAGGCAGTGGGGTTCAGAATCCTGGCTCTGTGGGTATAGCTCAGTGGTAAAGCATTTGACTGCAGAATCCTGGCTCTGAGCACCTCAGTCCCATTAGAGACCTTCAGTGACTGACCTGACCATTCTTTTGATGCCCCTCCCCTCACTCATGGTGCACAGACCTTGCAGGTTGAAGTCACCCTGACAAGCTGCCCTTCTTATGTTTCCTCCTCATTGTCTCCCAGACATCTCCTTTGCTCTTGAAGACCCAAGTTCAGCCACTTCCCACAGAAAGCTTCTCCTAAACCTCGTACCCCAGGGGCTAGGGGCTGGTTTGTGCCTTACAGTGTCCACACTTCCTGCTGTCACAGTCCTGACCTCCCTGAGTGGAGAGCAGCACCAGCTAGCGCAGTGAAGGTGAAACTTTTAGAGACCGAGTGCCCAAACTCCCTCCTCAGACCCCACTTATTTACCACGACGGGCTAACACTGCCCCTGTGGGTGCTGTTATCTGATGCTCAGCTGCTGGCGTGATGCTGGGGTGACTTGGCTCATGTGCCAAGAGGGCTCTGTCACGGGCTTGCCAGCACTGAGCTAGAGGCTTTCCTTGCTTGTTGTTGAGCTTATATATTGGAGGACTCAAGCTTGTCCAGAAGGAGGCCCCTCCACCCCAATCCAGAATCCAAGCAGCTCAGCTCCTCTCTTGGACTCCAGGGCCAGGCTTCCCAGAAGCAGGGCCTGCCTTGGCCTAGAACCAAAGATGGAAATAAAAAAAGGCCAAACTCTGGGTTCCCTCTTCAGATCAGGTCTAGCTCTTAGATGGAGGTCAGATTCCAGGCAGATTTCCAGCCGCAGGTGTCAAAAAAAGTGCCTACACAAACTTAGCGAGCACCTACTACTGCTAGGACTCTTCAAAGTCTCTGAACATCTCACTCCATTTAATCCGCATTATGGGCCTGTAAGACATCATTTATAGCTGTAGGTCTGGAGGAGGTCAAAGGACTTAATCCAAGTCATATAGATGGTCAGCAGCAACAGAGGAAAATCACCGAGTCTGGAGGTTGGGCCATTTCCTCCTGCCTTCTCTGTCCCCAGTCTGGCCCAGGCTGCTCCGGGCCACTGGAGATCTGGGGTGTACTGGCTGCAGCAGTGAGCCGGTGCCCATTCCTGTTCCTTGGGGTGAGGGTTCCTCACGAAGGAGCCAGGAAAGCCTAGAGGCAGGTCTCGGATGCCGCTCTGAGGCCAGAGGGGCTCCAGGCCACCTCATCCTGCTCTTGGGATGAAGGAGCAGGGAGCAGTTGGAGCAGGGTACCCACCCCAAACAGGAGAGCGGCGGGCCTGCATACATCTGACTACTTCCCACTTTCCTCGGCAGCTATTTCTGAAGGTGGGATAAACAACCGTAGCTTGAAAGGCGCAGAGGTTTGCGTAGGGGTGTGTGCGCTGACACGTAAACCTCAGGGTAAACAAGCACATGTGCACACATGCATGCACGGCTGTGCACGTGTGCAAGGGGAGGCCTGGGGAATACTACAGCCATCCAAGCCCAGGACTGGGGGCTGGGGAGGGGGAGGGAATTGGGTGGTATGCAGTGTGGGCAGACAGGAAGTAGGGACCCTGAGAGGGTCCCGTCATGGATTTGGATGCAAAGCTTGTGGCCCTGTTACTTATACTCACACCCCAGGGCCACTGACTCTCACCTAGACCGGGCCTGGGAGAGCAGGCCCACCCCCAAATGGTGCAGGACACCGAAGCTGCTTCTACCACTTGCTATCCTGGAAAGAATTGCTTGCGTTCTCCAGGCTTCCATTTCCTTGTGTATAAAATAAGACTCATTAACGTTAAAGGGGTTGAATGTGTTGCACCTACAAGGAGCTCAATAAATCTCAGCTCCCTTCCAGTTCTGGCATCTCCCAAGGTGAGAGGTTGGATCCTAGGGCCCAGTAAGCCTCCACTGAGCTTACCCACCCCGGCCCAGCATGGTCTCCCCACTGGCTGGGGGGCTGGGAGCAGAAATAGATAACACGGTCACACCTTCATAGAGTGCCACGCTGGTTGGGGAGGCAGGACCCAAACTGTAAAATGATGGGGACAGCCCAAGATGGCTCCCAAGTGGACAGTCTCTGCAGTGAGCACACAGCCTGCCCTGACCCTCAGACCCTACCTCAGCCTGGCTTCCCTCTCCTCCTCCACCACCTTTGTCCTAAGTGCTAAGTCAATGTTCAGCTGCACGGTTACCAAGAAACCTCTCAAACTTAAAAGCTCCAGCCCTGGAGCCCCTCCCCTGGCCCCCTTGGCTGGGCAGGAGCCTAGGGCTGGCCTTTAGAGTCCAGAGAGAGGCGGCGGCTGAGGTCTCATCTCTACCCAGCACGTCTTACTTGAAGGGATGGCACAGGCCCAAGCGAGTCCTCCCCTTGCTTCAAGCATGGAGCCCTTTTCATGATGGGGCTCAGAGCTGCCCACTCACTTGCCATCACCGTTTAAGGCTGTCTTGCACGTGGCCCACTCACAGGGACCCATTAGCAATCTCTACTGGGGAGCTGCAGAGAAAGCTAATTGTGTTTTCGCTATAATCTCCTGGGTGAGCAGGAGTTCAGACTATCACATGTCCCCTTCCCCAACTGGATTGTGAGCTTCTTGCCATAGGGACCATGCTTTTTGGGCCCCTAGAGCACCAAGTATAGGATTTAGCAAATGCTGGGACTTGTGAATGGGTATAAATAATGAAACACGTAGAACATGTGTACAGTGATAGTCAATTCTTGTACCCATCCTTTATGCAAGCAAAGAAGAGGTTGTTTAGTCTTATTTTGTGCAGGAGGCAACTGACAGAAAGGTTGAGTGACTGGCCAGAGGTTACATAGCTTCTGTGAGGAGGGGTCAGGATTCAAACCCGAGGCCTCTAACTCCAGAAGATGTCCCTCCAGTCCAGTCACCATCCATCAGTGCTGGCTCTACAGGAGCAGAGAGCCTAGAGCACCTGCCTCAGTTGCAAATGCCCCTGGGTCCTTAGCAAATCTACCCTGACTGTGGCCTACTGGGCCCTAGATCCTATCCTTGACTCCTGGCTTGAGTAATGCCCTGGGGCATGGGAGGTGGTGGAGGGCTGCTCCTGTGTGAGTGCGGGTGGGCCTGTAGCCACAGGGGCAAACAGCCAGTGCTGCACCCAGAGCTCAGCCTGCCCTCTGACTGCAGTCAATGGCTGGCTTGGAGACCACAGCCGCTGAGCCACAGGCCAGGACACAGGGCTGGCTGCCTACTCCAAAGGCAAGGTATTCTCTTGGAAGAGCCAGCTTTGCAAACCCAGGTGGACCCCCTCCTCCAGGGAGCATCTCTGGATTAAACAGGCAGTGTAGAATGGACCTCCTACACCTCCTATTAAACTAAGCCCTTGGCAACCATGGAAGGCAGAGTTTTGCAGACACTGCGGTCAGGAGTAGGAGCCCTGTCTTCCAGCTCCTGCCCTGGTCCCACCCTCAGCACAGCCCTGGGGCTCTGGCTGGGAGGCGTGGAGGTTATGTAAGCAGAGCCTCTCTCTGCCCTCCTCCTCCCTGTTTTTCCCTCTCCATGCCTCCCAGCATCCTGCCCAGCCCTGGGAAGCCGGGGGTCCAGAGGGAGGACGGCGGGTGGGAGGTGATCGATTGCCTGGTCTTGGCTGCTGTGGTGCCAGTTCCCCTCCACCCAAGCTGCGGAGACAGATGGGCAGCATAATTGCATGTAGTGTTGATAAACTCCGGCCTCCTCAGCAGCAGGTAAGCGCTGGGTGGGAGCAAAACTGAGGGAGTGGAAGGAGCCCCCCTCTGTAACCCGATCTCCAGCCCCTCCTGGGAGGTGAGAAGGGCTGTCACTCCCACCTTTCATTTAATTACACACAACTAGATCCTTGGGGCTGGTGGGGACCTTCGCATTTTTCTGGTCTTCCAGAGCCGGAATTCCATAAATAACTTATGCAAAAAAGGGACGGTGGAGCAGAAGGAGCCTGGGCTCTGCGATCTGGGACTGAGCCTGGCTCTGTCACTGGCTGTGCGACCTTGGGCAATGAACTTAACCTTGGGAGCCTCAAATGCCTGGGCTGGGAAGTGGGGAGTTGCTGTGAGGTCCACAGGCGGTAAGGCCTGGGACGTGCCTGCGTTCCTCCCATCACTGCAGCCTCTCCTTCCACCCTCCTTCTCATTTCACCGTTTGTAATATTTTTTGAATCACCATGGAAGTGTAAAATACACACAGGAGCATGCACAGTGGACCCTAATCCCACACACAGCTGCCAGCAC